CCACACCCAGCTAGTATTTTTATTTTTTGTAGACCTGGGGATCTTACTATGTTGCCCCAGCTGGTCTCAAACTCCTGGCCTCAGGCAATCCTCCTGCCTAGGCCTCCCGAAGTGTTGGGATTACAGGTGTGAGCCACTGTGCCCAGCTGAATATTTAATTAAAAAGCCCAAGTCTGAATATACATTGGTAAGGCAGGAATGGGTGGACATTAAATGGCCCAGTTAGAGGCAGGAACAGGATCCAATGGTGGGACATACTGAGGCCTAAATCAAAGTGTGAACGCAGGCATAGGATGACACTATACTAAACAATCAGGTCGACAGGAGTAGGTTATGGAAAGACAGTCTGGCCCAGGAATGCTTGCTCAGCTCAGAACCCAGGCAGGGATCCTCAGCACGTGCTGGGTTGGTCATATCTTCCCTTTATACCTGAGCCAGCCTGCAGAACCATGAGTTCGTTTATTATTATTATTATTATTATTTTTTTTTTTTGTAGTGAGTCTCCCTCTGTCTCTCAGAGATCCTTGTGCAGCCACATTCAGAGTGGAATTATTTACAATGACTAATACATGGATCTCTGGAATGCACTCTCAGTTCACTGCAACTTCTGCCTCAGCTGCTAGTTTATTCCTTTTTTCCTGGATCCTCTAAGTCTTCCTGTGGTGTTGTGTCACTAGCCTTTGCCATGTAACAAGCCACCCAAACATTAGTGCTTGAAAACAATTGGTGGCTCAAGCCTGTAATCCCAGCACTTTGGGAGGCCGAGGCGGGTGGATCACAAGGTCAGGAGATCGAGACCACAGTGAAACCCCGTCTCTACTAAAAATACAAAAAATTAGCCGGGCGCGGTGGCGGGCGCCTGTAGTCCCAGCTACTCTGGAGGCTGAGGCAGGAGAATGGCGGGAACCCGGGAGGCGGAGCTTGCAGTGAGCCGAGATCGCGCCACTGCACTCCAGCCTGGGCAACAGCGTGAGACTCCGTCTCAAAAAAAAAAAAAAAAAAAAAAAAAAAAAAAAAAAAGAAAACAATTACACTTCTATGCATTGGGTGCAACTTTACTTTACTGATTTTTCCTGGGCTCATTCATCTGGCTATAATTGTTTTTTCTTTTTTAAAATTGTGCTAAAATACGACATAAAATTTACCATCTGATAGGATTTGGATGTGTGTCTCCTCCAGTTTCATGGTGAAATGTGATCCCCATTGTTGGAAGTGAGGTCTGGCAGGAGGTGTTTGGGTCATGTGGGTGGATCCCTTGTGAATGGCTTGGTGCCCTCCCCATGGTGATGAGAGAGTTCTCATTCTGTTAGTTCACACAAGAGCTGGGTGTTTCAAGGAGCTGGCACCTCCTTCTCTCTCTCTCTTTCTCTCTCTCTTCCTCCCTCTCTCTCCCTTTTCTCCATGTATGTGCCTGCCTGTTCTCTTTTCACCTTCTACCATGAGTAAGTTTCCTGAGGCCTCACCAGAAGCCTAGCAGATGCTAGTGTCATGCATGTAAAATCTGCATGTACAACCTGTAGAACCTTGAGCCAAATAAACCTCTTTTTTTTTTTTGAAGACAAGGCCTGGCTCTATCACCCACGATAGAGTGCTGCAGTGGTGTGATTATAGCTCACTGCAGCCTCAAACTCCCAGGTTCAAGCCATCCTCCCACCTCAGCCTCCCAGGTAGCTGGGACTACAGGCATGCACCACCACACCTGGCTAATATTTGTCTTTTTTGAAGAGACAGGGTCTCACCATGTTGCCAGGCTGGTCTCAAACTCATGAGCTCAAGCAATCCTCCAGCCCCAGTCTCCCAAAGCACTGGGATTACAGGTGTGAGCCTCTTTTCTTTGTAAGTTACCAGCCTCAGGTATTCCTTTACAGCATGGCAAAACAGACTAACTCACCCGTTCTTAAGTGTATATTTTGGTAGCATTAAATACACTTATAATGTACAACCTTTATTACCGCCCACTTCCATAATTCTTTTCATCTTTAGAAACTTAAATTTTATATACATTAAACAAGAAGTCCCCATTTTCCTGTCTCCCCTGTCCCTGGAAATTGCCAATCAACTCTCTGTCTATATGATTGCGACTACTCTAAGTACCTCATATAAATGGAATTATACAGTATTTGCCTTTTAGGGGCTGGCTTATTTCACTTAGCATGATGTCCTTAAGTTTCATCCAGGTTGTATAGCATGTGTCAGAATTTTCCTTATTTTTAAAGCTGAATGGTATTTCATTGTGTTAAATGAACATTGTGTTTATTCATTCATGTGCAATGGACACTTGGGTTGTTTCCATGTATTAGCCATTCTAAATAATTCCACTCTGAATGTGGCTGCACAAGGATCTGTGAGTCCCTGCTTTCAATTCTTTTGAGTATATAACCAGAAGTAGAATTGCTGCATCATATGGTAATTCTTTTTTTTTTTTTTTTTGATGGAGTCTCTCTCTGTGACCCAGGTTGGAGTGCAGTGGCGTGATCTCGGCTCACTGCAACCTCCGTCTCCCAGGTTCAAGCGATTCTCCTGCCTCAGCCTCCCGAGTAGCTGGGATCACAGGCACCCGCCACTACGCCCAGCTAATTTTTGTATTTTTTAGTAGAGACAGGGTTTCACCATGTTGGCCAGGCTGGTCTTGAACTCCTGACCTCAGGTGATCCGCCCACCTCAGCCTCTCAAAATGCTGGGATTACAGGCATGAGCCACCATGCCTGGCCAATTGTACTTCTAATGTTTCGAGGAACCACCACACTGTTTTCCACAATGGCCGTACTGTGTTACATTCCTACCAATACTTCACAAGGGCTTCAATATCTCACATGACTGTAATTTATGGGCATATCAATTGCACAAGAAGGTCCAAGCTGGCCTTACTTAAAGGTCCAACAGTTAGTGCTGGCCATTAGCTGGGCACCTACAGTTCCTCAGTGGTGCCTGTGTCAGTCCTGGTATTCTAAGCAGATGCTAAGTCTGGATTTATTTGAGAAAACTCTAATAAGAGTGTAAGTAATTTATTAGGGAAAATTCTGCAAGAGATAATGGGAAGGGAGCCAGCAAAGTCCAGGAGAGTCATCAGACCTCAGTGCAAGTCTAGCACCAGTGGAGAAGGGAAAGATGGGAACACAGTGCAGGGCAAGACTTCACACAAGGTTGTGCAGAAGTTTCGGCAAAGCTAATGGGGAACCCATGACAGGAGTGGTGCATTTCCCAGGAGTGGGCTTGCCTGAGAATCCTGCCATGCTCAATCACTACCTGGGAGCAGTCAGGAAAGCTTGGCCTCCATGGAAACATGGTGATTGGTAGATTTCTGAGCACAGCAGCTGGGTCAACTCATCCCCTGTGCTCCAACATCTGAGGAAGATAAGTGGGAAAAAGATTGGTATAAAGAACTGCAACTGCTTTGTAACTTCATCCCATTCACAAGAAGGCAGAACAGCTTCTCTTTACATGGAAATTATTGCAGTGTATTGCAGTAGGCCTCTGGCAGGGCCTACTTCAATAGTGATACTTCTTCCCTGGACCTCTGCTGCAGCCTCCAGCACCACTCAAGGTCTCTATTCAAATGCCATCCTCTGCATAGGTTCTTCCCTGATGACCCATTTAAAATCTGAAACACCTCTACCCCAGTCACATTTCTTGCCCTGCTTCCCTGCCTTACTTCCTTCTATGGTGGGTGTTGCCTTCTATATACTATGATTCATGTTTGGCTCCTTCACTAGAATATCAGTTCTACAACTGCAGGGGTTTGTCGGTTTTAGTCAGTGTTATATCCCTAGCATTTACAAGTGGGATGGCCAAAGAATGTGCTCAGTGAAACAGACTTTTACTGAATAAAGAATAGTGGCTCATGTCTGTAATCCTAGCACTTTGAGAGACCAAAGCATGAGGATCACTGGAGGCCAGAAGTTTGAGACCAGCCTGGGCAGCACGGCAAGACCCTATCTACAAATTTTTTTTTTTTTTAAATCTAAGCATGATGACAAATACCTGCTTGAGCCCAAGAGTTCCAGGCTGCAATGAGCTATGATCACACCAGTGCACTCCAGCTTGGGTGACAGAGTGAGACTTCATCACTAAAAAAGAAAAAAACAAAAAAAAATGAAAAAAGTCTTTGACCTATTATGCACTGTCCTGCAGACTCTATTCATCTATGTATCATCTATCTATCCATCCATCCATCCGTCCATTTATCCATCTACATATCTGTATATCATCTATCCATTCATCCATCCATTTATCCATTCATCCATCCAACTATCCATCAAGGTACCTATTCATTCATCCGTCTATTTATTCATTCATCCGTCTATCCATCCATCCATCCATTTATCCATCCATCCATTTATCCATCCATTTATCCATCGATCTAGCCATCCATCCATCCATTTATATATAATCTTATACAATTTATATATAATTTAATCCATTTATATATAATCTTATACAATTTTTCTCTACTTTGTTGTTATCCTTCAATTAATAAGAGCTAGAACACTCACATAATGTGTATGGGGTCACTCAATTGTGAGTGTTGGACCTTGGATGGGAACCCACGCCTGTCTCTAAATCTACTATATTTCCCAGTAACATGCATGGCCTCATTACAGAGATACAGACAGAGAAAATGAGGAAGGAAGTGAGGGAGGAGGAAGGAAGTGACAACATCCACGTATACCTAAACCCTGCTAACTTCAAGTAGAGTATTCCGAGTCCCGTAACTAGAAAACCATCTTGATGTTTATATTGTTTTGTTTATCCACTGAAATGTCCAACACTTTAGCATAGCTTCAACAAAGTGCTTTTAACGATGTGCCTCCATTATAAGGGCAGAGGGAGAATCTTCATGAATTTGAGTGATTTCTGTTTTGGAATCACACACATCTGCATCCCGGTAGCTTCTCTGAGCTATAAATAGATGAAAGAACTGCAAGACTCTGCCCTTACTAGTCCACCTGAGGAGAAAGCTTCCCAGCAAATTGAAGCTCTTTAGAATCCTTCTTGAGAAAATGCAGGCAACGGGTTCTCCCAAACATGGAGTCCTGTAGCCCAGGTCTTACTTGAATCAGGTAAGAGGCGGGCGGGGAAGGAGTGATCTCCCCGTGCACCCTCGCAGCCCGCTTCAGGAGTGGGACTAGCGCTCCTTGGTGGGTGTGGCTCGTGTGCATGGGCCACACCAATCCTGGGGGCAGGATGAGGGAGTGGTGGGTCCAGGTGGGGCTGTTGGCCGTGCCCCTGCTTGCTGTGTACCTGCACATCCCACCCCCTCAGCTCTCCCCTGCCCTTCACTCATGGAAGTCTTCAGGCAAGTTTTTCACTTACAAGGGACTGCGTATCTTCTACCAAGACTCTGTGGGTGTGGTTGGAAGTCCAGAGATAGTTGTGCTTTTACACGGTTTTTCAGCATCCAGCTACGATTGGTACAAGATTTGGGAAGGTCTGACCTTGAGGTTTCATCGGGTGATTGCCCTTGATTTCTTAGGCTTTGGCTTCAGTGACAAACCGAGACCATATCACTATTCCATGTTTGAGCAGGCCAGCATCGTGGAAGCACTTTTGCGGCATCTGGGGCTCCAGAACCGCAGGATCAACCTTCTTTCTCATGAGTATGGAGATACGGTTGCTCAGGAGCTTCTCTACAGGTACAAGCAGAATCGATCTGGTGGGCTTACCATAAAGAGTCTCTGTCTGTCAATGGAGGTATCTTTCCTGAGACTCACCGTCCACTCCTTCTCCAAAAGCTACTCAAAGACGGAGGTGTGCTGTCACCCATCCTCACACGACTGATGAACTTCTTCGTGTTCTCTCGAGGTCTCACCCCAGTCTTTGGGCCCTATACTCGGCCCTCTGAGAGTGAGCTGTGGGACATGTGGGCAGGGATCCGCAACAATGATGGGAACTTAGTCATTGACAGTCTCTTACAGTACATCAATCAGCGGAAGAAGTTCAGAAGGCGCTGGGTGGGAGCTCTTGCCTCTGTAACTATCCCCATTCATTTTATCTATGGGCCATTGGATCCTGTAAATCCCTATCCAGAGTTTTTGGAGCTGTACAGGAAAATGCTGCCGCGGTCCACAGTGTCGATTCTGAATGACCGCATTAGCCACTATCCACAGCTAGAGGATCCCATGGGCTTCTTGAATGCATATATGGGCTTCATCAACTCCTTCTGAGCTGGAAAGAGTAGCTTCCCTGTATTACCTCCCCTATTCCCTTATCTGTTGTGTATTCCACTTAGGAAGAAATGCCCAAGAGAGGTCCTGGCCATCAAACATTATTCTCTCACAAAGTCCACTACTCAAATTGGTGAACAGTGTATAGGAAGAAGCCAGCAGGAGCTCTGACTAAGGTTGACATAATAGTCCACCTCCCATTACTTTGACATCTGATCAAATGTATCTTGGCTTTGTTTTTGTGTTATTAGGAAATTCTGATGAGCATTACTATTCACTGATGAAGAAAGACGTTCTTTTGCATAAAATACTTTTTAACACTTTGGATTTATCTGAAATATTTAGAAGTACTCATTTCTGGCCCAGCCCCAACAGGAATTCTATAGTAAGGAGGAGGCGAAGGGGGCCTCCTTCCCTCTCCTTGAATGACTTTATGGGCACATGCCTTTTAAAAGTTCTCTAAGCAACACAGAGCTGAGTCCTCTTTGTCATACCTTTGGATTTAGTTTCATCTGCTGCTTTTAGTTATAAACATTTTGTTAAAATAGATATTGGTTTAAATAATATAGTATTCTAGGTATTTGATTTAAGACTATGATTTACCTATACATTATGTATATTTTATAAAGACACTAAACCAGCATATCCTTACTCTGCCAAAGTAGTGAAGTTAATTAAACATGTTTGATTTCTGAATAAATTGAACTAAATCTAAACTACTTCCTAAAATCACAGGACTTTAAGGACCACTAGCATCTGTGCCAGATGTTCACTGTTATTAGCTGGGAAGACCAATTCTAACAGCAAATAACAGTCTGAGACTCCTCATACCTCAGTGCTTAGAAGCATGTTTCTCTTGAGCTACTATAGAGGGGAAGGGATTGTTGTGTAGTCCAAGTCACCATGCTGAATGTACACTGATTCCTTTATGATGACTGCTTAACCCCCATTGCCTGTCCCAGAGAAGCTTTCCAATGGAGCTCAGTAATTCCTATACTTCACAGACAGGAAAGTTCCAGAAACTTTAAGAACAAACTCTGAAAGACCTATGAGCAAATGGTGCTGAATACTTTTTTTTAAAGCCACATTTCATTGTCTTAGTCAAAGCAGGATTAAGTGATTATTTAAAATTCATTTCTTAAAATTAGCAACTTCAAGTATAACAACTTTGAAACTGGAATAAGTGTTTATTTTCTATTAATAAAGATGAATTGTGACCAAAGAAAAGAAAATGCATGATTAATGAGCCATGTAGAACACATGCCAGAATCCACATGCTTTTAAGTGCGTTCTGCATAGAAGCAGGGATTGTTGGTATCCAAGATATAAGGGCCTCTGTACACAGGATTCCTCTTCTTGTTCCAGAAAAGGGAGGAGATGAAAAATGCATCTACGGCTAAAGAGGCCTGGAAAACAGAGGTTGCTTTGAGAGAAGTATGATGTAACTGTGAAAGGAAAATAAATCTGGGGGCCCCAAATCACTAAGCTAAAGGGAAAAGTCAAGCTGGAAACTGCTTAGGGCAAACCTGCCTCCCATTCTATCCAAAGTCAGTCCTCTGCTCACTGAGATAGAAGCATATCTGATTGCCTCATTGGAAACAAAGGCTCATCAGGAACTCAAAAAAAATCCAACCATTTTTCTCTTACGTACCTATGACCCGAAAGCCTCTCCCCACTTCGAGTCGCCTGGCCTTTGCCTCCAGCCGTCCCACCTTTTTGGACTGAACTAATGTACATCTTACACATATTGATTGATGTGTCATGTCTCCCTAAAACGTGTGAAATCAAGCTGTACCCTGACCACCTTGGGCACATGTCGTCGGGACCTCCTGAGTCTGGGTCACGGGTGTGCACTCTCAACACTGGCAAAATCAACTTTCTCAATTAACTGAGACCTGTTTCACATTTTCAGGTTCACATAACCTTCCTGCAAAAGAATTTGAATGTCTCTAATTTGACAGTTTTCATGTTTAGCAGCATAACTAACACTTCTCTTAGCACTATGGACAAGGAACTCCTTATTGAAAATAGAAAGCTAACTAAGATTCTGAAGGGCTTGTTTAGTTTACAGACAAAAGCAAATACCCCATCAACACAAGATTAACAGCACCTGAAGGCCCACTGTGTGCTGCTTTGAAATCCACCTCATCTCTGGGTGATAAAGCACGCTCTGAAGAGACTCTGCAAGACCAGCTTTTCCGTAAGTGGACTGTGGGTTATTTATAGTCACTCTGCACGTGTGCTAATGAGCCATGGCCACCCGGCAGACATGATTTAACTTTCTATGGTTCTTGGTTTTCTCATGTGTAAAATTACAAGGTCGGACAAGTTTAATTCTAAGAACTGTTGAACTGACCGGGCATGGTGGCTCATGCCTGTAATCCCAGCACTTCGGGAGGCTGCAGATCACGAGGTCAGGAGTTCGAGACCAACCTGACTAACATGGTGAAACCCTGTGTCTATTAAAAATACAAAAATTAGCCGGGCGTGGTGGCATGTGCCTGCAATCACAGCTACTCGGGAGGCTGAGACAGGAGAATCACTTGAACTTGGGAGACAGAGGTTGCAGTGAGCCGAGATTGCACCATTGCACTCCAGCCTGTGTGACAGAGCTAGACGCTGTCTCAAAAAAATAGATAGATAAATAAATAAAAACTAAGAACCGTTGAACTAAAACATTCCCTGCTCTCAGGACACTGTGGTTAAAATAGTAAGCTATTTTGACTTCTTCATAACCCTGACTGTCCTTCCTCCCCATTGATTCTCAACAGAGATTTTCTGCCTGCTCTAACTTACCCAAAACATTAGCGCAGCTGATTATCTGACACGCTGAACAATGACTAAACGGTGACTGAGAAAAGGCCACTTGCTAAATGTATGTAGGTAAGTGTTCTAACCTCTCCAGGTCTCAATGCTGGTGTATGGAAGACATACTTGATAGCAATAACTTAAGCCTGAAAATAACACTATGGTCTAAGGAAATGTGTGTTCAAAGTTCCAAGCTAAGGAATCCAGAAGTGGCCAACCTGAAGATCCACTCCTTATCTGTGAAGGACATCAGAAGCCCTGGCCCATCCCCTTGAAATGCAGGCTCTACAGGGGCTCAAGGCCCTTTGTTTTGGGTTACATACAGGTTGCTAGGTGGAGATTGCCAAGTGAAAAACATTATAACCTGCATACATTTTTTTAAAAGGTAGGGAGTCTCCTGTCCAGCCTGCCACTCCTGGACTGCACCATTTGTAAGTCCTCAATAAACCCTTTTGTCACAGGACTCTTTGGGTGCCGCTTCACCAGCTGGAAACCTCTGTGGCTGGCAGCACCTCTGCCTGAGCTTTGCTTATGACCGCTGGGTTGGCTCTGCCCACTCAGCCCAGCAGGCTGTGCTGAGCTGGCTGTGCTCGGCTCTCAATACCGGCCCAGATCCCACACTCGCTGTGAGTGAGCCAGGTGCAGAGTGGCGAGGGCTGTTAGTGAGCCAGCAGGGGGCATAGCCATGGCGCAGTCAAGTGCACCGCCTGCTAAGGTGGGGTGGGCAGCTCCAGGCACCAGCACAAGCATAAGCTCTGTACAAGGCTGTGGCTGGACCAGATGTGCCTCAAGTGGCTTCCGCCTTGGGTGCTGGCATCTGGATAAGGGGAACATGTTGGTGCCTGAAAATTCAGAGACACAAGCAACCACAGAGGCCTAAGTGCATGTTACACCATGTCACAGCTCTGGATCAGAGAGTCCCAAGACCTGGGCCCCCAGAAGGTTTACCGCTCTTCCCTTGTAGTCCAGTAAATGAGTGTGTCACCACCCACTTCTTGGCTGGCCAGCCAGGAACTTGTTACAGCCCTTTTCGCTCCTGCCACTTAGCAAGCTCTGGGTTCTTGTCTCATGACCAAGAATAAGGTTATGTGGACAACCGGAGAGAGCAAGGTGGAGAAGAGTTTTATTGAGCAACATAACAGCTCTCAACATGAGAGGGGAACCCGAAGTGTAGCCCCTTCCCCAAGGCAGGTAGTCCCAGTGTGTGGCTGAGTCTGGGGTTTTATGGGCTCAGAATGGGGGAAGGCGTGCTGATTGATCCATGGGTGGGCCTGGAAAAAGCATCATTTGATTGTCTAAAAAGGCATAGAGGAAGTTCTCACTCTAGCCCTGGGCTGTAATAGCTAGGTTTTCAGGTTTTGAGCTGTCTTTGGCTTGAAGATCAGACTTCACCAGGGACCTGCCTCTGGCTGCCTAGGAATTTGTCTTCCTCCTGCCACTGATATTATGTCACCTTCACTGGCTCCGGGTCTCCTCTTTGGCTTCTGGGACATGGTGCCATCTCTACTGGAGTCAACAAGGGTCCGGCGCAATAGCTGGAAATTTGCAGGAGAAAAGAAAAGTTGCTCAAGGATGGGTGATGAAACAAATAACGAAGATGAAGCTAACAAATAGCATTCTATTTCTCAAGATTATAACAGCCCAAGATTATTGAAAGGAAATCACATTTGGAGCTGTCTCTCTGGGCTAGTTTGCTGGCAGATCTGCATGGTGGACCACACTCTCACCTGTCTTTTGTGTCCTTCAGCATGATGAACTCTGCTGTACGCGTCCTGGTGCTGGATCCGCTATTACCAACAAGCTAATTGAGTTTGCTGGCCTTGAAAATGCATCCCTGTAGGTAATGTGATGATGTAATGCTGTGTTCCTGCCCTCTGGATTTCCTCCTGCCATTACGGAGGCCTTATTTATAAGAATGGAAACAAAATCAAAAACAAAAAAAACAGGATCGCCTTTTGATGTGACTTAAACAAGGCTGGAACAGAGCCTGAGGCTTAGCCTTCCACATGCCCCTGAGATGCCAGGACTCAAGTGAAGCAGGAAAATCCCAGAAAGCAGGTGGGGGTCCATGAGAGTCTGGTGGACACAGGTCTGAGGAGGACAGGAACATAGGTGCAGGGAGGATGCCTGGAAGAAGGGCGAGCAAATGGCAAATGCTGGATGCACAAGCACCACTTATGAACAGATGGAGGACGGAGCTAGGTCAAATAATCCAGCAGACACTGAGATGAGTTTGGAGGGAAGGCAGGACCCCTCTGAAGTCTAAGGAAAAAGAGCATGACAGACTGCCCAGGGCAGGTGGTATGCCCGACACAGGACAAGCTGGAGACAGACGGGGAAGTCCATCTGGGCTGTGCAAGGGAAAGCTAGAAACTGTCACAGCTGGTCAGCTACTGGAAATTCAGTGAGCCCCTCTGTGCCAGAGGTGGGGCTGTGGAAAGCCAGGCAAGCCACCTGCCCTCATGGAACTAACCTTCTAGTGCTGTAAATCAACCGATAGGGCATGAAGACAGACACACAGACCAGTGGAATAGAATCAAGTCCAGAAATAAACCCTTGTATATGTAGTCAAATGACTTAGAACCAAAAGCATTCAGTGCTGAAAGGACTCTTTTTTTTTTTTTTTTTTTTTACTTTTTTGAGATGGAGTCTCACTCTGTC